CCCCCCCCCCCCCCGCAAAAAAAAAAAAAAACTAATAAGCTGCGCTGTTTGTACTTCTAGCTGACCATTTGAAGACAAATCGAACCAGTGCCCTCAATGTCTAGCCAAAAACTCGCCAGAAAAAGGACACCTATGAATTTGACCTGACCTGCCCAAAATTTCAAAGCGTTGGAACTTTCTGGGGCCACCAAAATGAAGAAGACACCTACCAGTGCCGTGGAACCAAATTCTGGATTGGTCAAATTTCTTCAATGAGTCCCATGGTGGGTTCATGCGCGTGTGGATATGGATGGGAAAGAGTGGAAGCATATGCCAGAATGGAGGGTAGTCTAGAGGTTGATTCTCCATTCTTTTCAACCTTCCAAAAACGAGTTTCTGTTTTGTGGGGGATAGTCGTGGAAGCAGGCTCCATCAAAAAGAATGGGGCCCAAGCAGCCCAAGCAGTATCCCCTTCCAGCCGGAGGAACCTGCCAGCCCAGCAACTCCGGCCCCAGATTCGTTTTGGAGCCAAAGGAGGCAAGGGGTTCAAAAAGACAAACCCACGAGATCACTCGAAATGGAGAAGCCAGGATCAGCCGTGGCCTTTCCAGCATGGAAACGCCCTTGGGTGTGGACCCGTGATGTTTGGTGCTCCCTTCAAATTGATCTGGCGGGTTCAATGAGTTGTAGCGTAGCTTCATTCACTGCTTCCGGCCACCAATACCTAGGGAGAGTGGTTGAACAGGTTGTTCCTCAGAAAGGTGGGCTGTCCTCAACCACATTCCAGCTGAAATATGGGATGCGTCCTTCTTTTGAGCCTGCCGGGCGCATCTTGAAAGGAAGTTGGCTTCCCTGTGAGAGCCAGTCCAGCAGGCCCAACAAAGTCTGTCCTTTGTCTCAATTGGTTGAACCTTTAAACGGGTCTTGGTTTGAAGGGAACGGAAAACCTGCCAACCAAGTTGGGAAGTTCCGAAATTGAAAACTTCACAAGAGACTTCTAGGGGCCGCAACAGGGGTGGACTGGCCGCCTTGCTGGTTTTGACGTGTTGGCCCAACAGCGGGAGGAGGCGTACCATTTCCCCTAACATCACCTGGGAGGGAAAGTCGATTCCTTGGTTGACGTTGGAAGGGGAGCAAAAAGAAAATAAGTTTTAGCAGTGAAGTGGGGATTTCAACCACTAACCCACAATAAGCAAACATGCAAAATGTGTCCCAACAACAACCGTGATAAAACCTGGGTGATGCCCCTGAGGGAAATATAGGAACCATTCGAGGGCAGCCGTCTCCCCAAAGAAGAGGGCTCAAACCAGCGGGCAAACCCCTAGAGGTCTGGAGGAAGCCTTTTGGAAAAAAACGGTCTGGAACCTGGTAACCTTCAAAGGGACGAAACTTGCGTTGATCCAGTGAGCCACAATCAAAACAACACGTTTGCATACTGGGACAAAGCCCGTGAGGCTTGAGGTCCTTTCAATCCTCCCCGAGGATTGCCCTACCTTTTGCAACACAACAAGAGGGGCCAACAGCAACCAAGCATTTTTGAACGCTGCGGTATGGGCGTTGCTTTTTGATGCTCGTTGTTCCGCAGATGGATCGACTCAGAACGTAGCTAGGGAACATACCAACAGAAAGGCCGCCCCGCAAGAGGTGTGAGTGGACATAACTGTTTGTGGGTCCAATGGAAAATCCACCGTTTTCCAAAAAGTTAAAGTCCAAAGACCCACCAAATAGCTGTACAGAATGGGGGAGCCTGAAACCGTTGGCTTCCCTTCGGTTTCGCTTCGGATGCGAAGGGACACGCCTCGACACCCAGCCACTGCAGCACTCGGCGCAAGCTCCGCAGGGGAAGTTGGTTGGGAGTCACCTGGCAAGACGTCCCTGCCGGGGGTATTTCCCTTCTTTGGCACGCCTTAGGGGTAGTTGAAACATCGCCCTTTGGGTGAAATTGCTTCTCCTGTTTACACATCGATGTTTAGGTGCCAACACCGATGCGCTTCCTTTTCATGGGTGATGTTTCAAGAACACATACATGGAACCCTACCCTACCCACAACGAAAACAGACAAAGCATACTGAAGTTTGCAGCGGTTTTGATTCGCAGTGGGAATGCCACATTTTACCGCGACAGCCGTCACTTCCGAGCCCTTTGCCAATGTATTTCCGCGTTTGGGGCCTGTGGGTCTGTGACCAAATGCAGCGCAACCCTGAAGATAGCCGTGTTCGTGGAAATTGTTCCCTTGAAGCACCAAAACCATTGGAGGCCTTCAACCGAAAACAAGTCACACCATAAGTGGGAATTTCCCTGAACAAAATGGCACCGAGCCTCAAAAAAAACAAAACCACACAGTCTCCCCCTCAGAAAAAACCAAATAAGAAAAACAAAAAAAAAACAAGCGCCTAAATAATTAGAATGGGGACTGCGGGGCATTTGCAAACACAAATTAGTGATTATAGGCGTGCACTTTTTGTAATCATTCAGCCCCATACCTGGTCCGATTTCAGATCCCCTGCGAGGAACGTGTCACTTGTGGGGTACCTGGAAACCCAACCACGAAACAAACTCAAAAGCTTAAAAAAAAAAAAAAAAAAAAAAAAAACCTTTCCGCAACCGGACGATTCGCTGGGAACCACCAAGATACACAACCCGCTCCCCCAAAAAGGGCGAGCAAACCACGTCCTTCTAGGGGTTGGTTCCTCATTCTGTTCAACCATCGTTCTTTTAGAAAACCAGATCCGTTTTCCCCGGGTTTTCTGGAGGTTTTCTAGAAAGATCCGGATCCCTGGAAAGAATGGACATGGAAGGTACCCTCTCTAGGTCCCCCAGTGCCCTTTCTCACCCCCTTTTTGGGGGAGGTACCCCCCTAGAGTCCTCTTCGTGTTCCGTCCGTGCCTCGAACTGGGACAGCAGCTGCAGCACGTCGGTGGCCGCGATGCGGCCCTCGGAGTTGCAGAGCCGCTGGAAGTGGCCCCGCAGCACCTCCGAAGGCTCCGGCCTGAACCGCGCCCGGGGTCATGTGGACCCAGGGTTCATAACCCCTCCCAGAATTACTCGGTGGCGAAATCTGCGAAGCCCTGCTACACGGTTTTGTTGTTTTTTGTGGTTTAATACGGAAAACCCGTTAGTTGGCAAAAGGTGAAAGTCCTAACATCCCGTGGCGAAATGCACCAAAGATTAGGGGGTGTTCCCTCCAAAAGTGGTCTGAATCCCCACGAAAAGAGGACACCCCCCGATCAAAATCAGCCAGGGGTTCATTAATCCGGGGTTAACATTATCGATGTCGTTTTTGTGGATGGCTGACATCGAAATCGGAAAACCCACCACGGTTCATGAAACCATGAGAATGAAACCATGAGAATGAAACCTTTTTGGGATTCAAAAGTTGCGGAATCGAATCCTTCCAGAGTTTCTAGGTGGTGCGAGTGGGCTTCCTCCATGCACAGGAGGGGAACCGCAAAAGGGCGGTTTGCCCTTTGGTTTCTCCTATGAGATCGGACCCCGGCGAGGAAACCTTAACAAAAAAAGCGTGCCGAGATTCAAAAAAGATGCGAAGCCAGTCAGTTGCAGTCTTAAGTCGGGGTTGGTGGGGGTTTGGGAGCGGACGTGGGTTCCGGCAGGGGTAAAGCCTGGCCACCTTCCAGTTGCTTAAGTCCCCGGAAAAAATGAGAACATGTTCCCAGTAGTGATGGATTCCCTTTAAGACCACGGGACAATGAAACATACTCTTAGCAAATGGGAGGTACATAAAGGGTATTCCCTTGAAACAATTGAAAGGGAGGGCAGGGATCGGTGGGATCAGGAGGTGGCTTCTGGTTGGGAGCTTCAGTTGAATTCGTGTATGGTTCAGAGCCAATGGATGGGGGGAAAGAGAGGAAGAGTTTACCAGCTGCAGTTCCCTCCTGTATAAATTATTCTCAGATGGCCCCAGCCAGAGAATCTTGGCCAGAAAAGTGAATCCCCATGGGGGGATCAATCTGTGCACATCCGAGAGGCCTCTCCAGTCACCACAGTCTCCCTTCCCTTGTCAGGCGCAACAAAAATCGACCGCTGGAGCTCCAGATGAGGAGAATGGGGATTGATTATCACTCGGTTGGACTCCAAACCGTAACATGACCGCAACACATGGGTCGAGTACAGCTTTTGTCTGCGCACAAAATAGGGCATTGCCTCCTCTTGTCTCTTGAAAAATCACCCGCCCCTCCTCGCTAGCAAGATGGAGCGCCAAGTGAAAGTGTCCAAAAAAAGCAAAGCCCTTTTGGATGTTGACAGGTATGCACGAAAACAACTCCAATGCTTCTTGTTGGAGGTTTGAACCCAGAAGGAAGCCCAAGCTTGTTAGGACTTCAAACTCCAATTTGGGAACACCTCCCCATCCCACCCGCTCCAGTGGCCGGAAACTGTTTTGTTTTCACTCCAGCGACAAAACAAGTTGAAGAAAGGGGCACCACTGGAGGTTTGGGGGATTTGGGTGAGCGAGCTGAACAAATCTGAAGTGAAACAAGCTACAGAGTTGAACAGCTGACAAGTTGCAGAACTGTTCAAGAAAAGAACAAACGGTGAACAAAGAAAAGCACAACTACACAACATGGGTGTGTCGCTTAGGAGAACCCTCCCCTCCGCCCGCCCATGTTGGGTGGTTTGCCTGTTGATGTCCTTCTAGACTCCCAGCAAAACCAGGAGCCGCGTCCACCAAAAAAAAGGCGGGGGCCCCAAGAGCCAAGGCGCTGATCAGGACGTCGCAGCAGGTGGGCCTCCACCGCGCACCAGAAGAGCTCCTGGAAGTTTCGGAGAAGAGCTACTTCCCAAGCCTTCGATAGCTGGTTGCTCTGTAGGTACAAGCTGGAGGGAATTGTTCAGCATGTTTATAACATATATCGGCTGGAGGGAATTGTTCGGGTATTGGAGGTACTGTTGAGGGTTGCGAAATTTTGTTCGCACCACTTGGAAACCATGGGAAACCATGACGTTCGTTGGTATGTGCAGGGGGAATCGAATCATTCCAGGGTTTCTGAGGTGATGCAGGATTTCGTCCACCCACAGTATGGAGAGGATAAATATCACTTTTAGGGAGAAACCAACTGCACAAGCTTATATGGTATATCTGCCTTCAATAGGGGAGCGAGAAATGGAATGACCCCTTTAAAAAACCATTTATCCGATTTGGTTCCTTTATAAGGGCATCCCCGAAACGGTTCAATCCCAACACCGGGAAGGCCATTCCCTGAGCACCAACAAGATCCTCATTCGGCTAGATTTGGTTCAGAGGTATTGGAGGCATGGAGGTGAGATATACGCCTTAAGCTTATCCCATTTGGGTAATGGAGGTACTGTGGATGGTTGCGAACTCCATCCATTCGCACCACCATTCAGAAATCCTATGCTTCGATTCCCCAACGTAAATACCAACAAGCGTTGTGGCTTCAACCATGGTTTCAAAGTGGTGAAGGATTTCGGCCATCCACAGGGGTATATACTGCACAAGCTTAGATTGGTGGTATATAAGTCTACACCTCCAAACACCATACCTGGAAACCCGGGACCTATGATTGTAATAGGGTTTAACGGAGAAAAAGAAGAAGTGGCAAAGTGACCAGCCTTTGCTTGCTGCTGCTCAGGGAATGACCGGAAGGGGATTCCCTTAAACAAGGCCATAGGGGATGGTCATTTGTCTCATCCCCTGCTGAGAACCAGCAAGATTTGCTGGTGGAGGCTTTGAAAGACGTGATGGGAAGGTTCCCGGTTGCGCTCTAACATCAAGCTGAACCCCAGGCTCCCCGGCGGCTTTCGGGGTTTGGGGATTCGAAGCACTGGAGGGAAAAGGAGAGACCAAGCCAGCAATCCAAGCCACCAATCCAAACCAACCTCCTTTTGGTGTTTGCCCAACCAGCCTCCTTTTCTAGGTCCTCCAGTAGAGAGGTTGGAATAAGGCTACCCTTTTCCTGTCCATTTTAGTAGGGGAACCCTCCCCCAAAACAGAAACGGTAACAGGGCACTCGGAGGACAACCAGCTCCTCCGGCTCCAGCGGACGCAGCCCAAAGAGCCTGATGAGACGCACTGCAACGCCGTCTCAAGAGGAAACCTCCAGGAGCCTTGTCTTGGTTGACGTTGGAAGGGGAGCAACAAATTAAATTCTAGCTGTTAAGTGGAAACTTCAACCACTAAACCACAATAATTAAGCAACAATGTAAAAACAAATCCCAACAACGACCATGTTGTGGTTTCTCACCTGAATTATGGGCTCAAAGTATGGGCTCAAACTCGCGGAACAACATGATTCGTCTCCTTTCGTTTCAAAGGTACACCCGTATGGGCAGGGTGTATGCCCCATGCTCTTCTGAGAAGTGGTGTGGGGTGTCCATCTTAGAGCCGACGGTGGAAGCGGGGTCCGTTGTCGGTGTCTTTCATTGTTTCGCCCGGTGGACTCAACCTCACCATCTTAACTTCGGAGTAGTCCGGTGGAAAATTAAAAATCGCTGGTGGTTCCGCTAAGGACATGGCCTACTTTTGGGGGGTTCTGACTAGGGTCCTCCTCATTCTGACAACAATTCATCGTCCCCGACTCGTCCCCCATCCACAGATCCGCTGCCTGAAGCGGCCAACAATGCCCAGCACCGAGACGTTGGACTGGCGCGGACGCGTCGAGCGCTTTCAACGAGCTCGGAAACCCAAGGCCAGTGGCCAACCTGATTGGCTCTGAAGGAACCTTCTTAGGGAATCTGATTGACGGGTTCTGAGCACCTTGGGGGCATTGAGGAGAAGCGACACTTTGCGCTGGCCAGCACGTTTTGGCCAAACAAAATGTAAGGGGAGAGCCTCAAACTTCACCCATTGGCCCGTACAGTGACATGCATCTAACCCCTCAACAGCATGCCATTTTGAAGGGTGTTGGCCTGAGAGCCAACGAGTATCGAGGAACTGATAGGACACCTCAGGCCATGAGGCTCAACCCCGCAGTTTGTCCCAAATGAAACCTAACCAACACCCAAGCCTAAAGCTCTCTCCCGCTCGAAATGTCTGTGCTCAAAATCGGCGTGCGTTCGGATTCAAGCTTGAGTGCAGGTGTCGTCTCGAATTCGATGAAATGAAGACCGCTGCTTGCCGAAGGTTGACCTAAATATTGCAAGTGAACCAGCCACAAACCAGCGGGATTTTTTGCAGGGCTTCCCTTGTTCCCTTGCAATACTTAGCTTTTGCGTCCACCGTGTGTCTATTTTGAGCGAGCCACAGCCCTCTGGCTTCCATCTCACATGTCGGTCATGTCCAGCTTCCGTGAAGGCCAGCGAATTCATGGCGCAGCCTCACCAACTTTGTGAGGCTTTGGAGAAGTCTCTGCCGCAAGGGAAGGTCTGAAGGGCAAAAACCTTTCCTGGATTCTGGGGGTTGATCTGGGCTTGTCTTTTAAAATTGGGGAACCCCCGCATTGGATGGTTGCCTGGTTTTCGTTGGTTCCTAAATTGTCAGATTTGCAGCTGGCTCCCTCTACGTAGCTTTGCTTTGCCGGAACACCGGCAAAGAAAGCACGTGCCCCAGCAAGCAGACGACGACCAGCCCAGGCAATGGCCGTGAAGAAATGTGTTGTTTTGTGTTTGTGTGTGTGTGTCATACCAATCTGGAGTCATGTCATGCCCATGACTGCGTATTTCATTTCCCTGGGTATCACAGAAAAGTTGCGCTAAACTCATTGAAGTGATGTCCTCAAAGCTACCCTTTAGCCCGCGGCTCAAAGGGAAACCCAGAAAAAAAACGTGCCAATTGCCACAACCACGGCTTGGGCTGCTTGCCAATTGGCTCCGGCCTTGTCATCTGCTGGGGGACTGGGAGCACCTGCGCGCGGGCCCTAGTCTTCAGTGCCAAAGATGCTACAAGTTAAATCAAAACCTACATGTGGGTATGTGTCAAACTTGTCGTTTCTATTGTGGTTGTCCTTGTGCTTTCCCTTTCAAACCTGAAAAGGGTACCCTCACTAAAAAACACACACCTATATACGAATTCAGAGATGAAGTGGCTGAAGTTTTCGGTGGAGTAGTCATGGACTACAAGCCAAACAAACGGCAGCCAAACATGGGCGATGTGCATGTTAACAAAAATGTTCGAACACCAAAGCAGCGATTCCCACATCTGATTTTGCATGTTCCTGTACCAGCACAAACACGTGTGGATTCAAAAAAGCAAATTAATCGCGTGACTCCACTCTCAACTGAAGGTACACCTTGGGAAGATTGGATCGGCCATTGAATTGCAGGGCAGTAACAAGATGTATTGTTTGGTTCTGTCGGCTTCTGTAAGGGCCCTAATAAATAGAATTGGGTTTGGGGGGTGTTAAAAACAAGGTTCATCATGGTTGTAGGAGTAAACCTACTAGCAATTCTGTAGCCCCTGATATATATATATATATATGCCGTCATGTTTGGTTGCCTCACAAGGGACCGGCAAGCGGGCCATGCCAATGACTGATTCGCTTACAGGGTTGATTCCCCTCAGAAATCCGCTCTAAACGGATTTCCAAATGGCTTATCCGGGCGGCCTGCTGATCAGATAGGGTATAAACGGCGCTTCACAAGCAAATGACGTGGGGAATTGCACTGCATGATCCAAATAGGGAAACGCGCTAGGCTACCGCAAGCTCGAACAGCACCACGCCTTTAGAACCAGGCTGCAACCTCCAAACGACCACCGCCGACAAATTTTCGACCAATTTCCGACCACCTCCGACCACCTTCCGACCACCTTCCGACCACCTCCGACCACCTTCCGACCACCTCCGACCACCTCCCGACCACATCCCGACCACCTTCCGATCCTCCGACCAGCCTACCACCCAAGGCCACACTGATGGAAACAGGCCCAAAACATGCCAATTTAGCGGTCTGGGGCTACATTTAAGGAAAAACGGGATTGACCTTCCTGATAAGCTGTTGTGGAAATCCAACATCGCAACTTTCAAGCACGAAGTACACTTTTAGAAGGCTCCGGCTGGCAAATCGCAACTTTAAACTAGTAAAGTATTCCGCGAAGTATACTTTTGAAAGTCCGGATCGACAGTTGGAATCACGTCGAAAGGTTTCTGTGTTGTGGCCAGCGCTGCACGCACAGAACTTGCTCAGAGTCAGAGAACTTGCTCGTAGAAACTTGCTCCAAGCTTGCGCAGCGCACTGGCGCACAGGGCTTGCACAGAGCAACTTGAACAGAGCACTTGCACACGCAGAGCAACTTGCGATCTTGGGCCGAGCACTTGCGCACGCAGAGCAACACTCACTTTCCATTATGCTTTCGGGCCACCCATGGGTACCCTCAGAAAACACACACCATGTGCCTGGTGCACTTGGCGGTGGAGGCGGTGGAGGAAGGATGGAAGTCGTGGGATGCAGGGCATCTGCCAGCAATTGCATCTCCTCGTCCTGCGTGAGAAGCACGCCAAGCTGCAAATGGGACCAGTTTTCAGCGACCTAAGAAATGGGTTGGTCTTTTTGTTTGAGGGCCCCTTGTTTCGGGGGTTAAAGGGAAACCGAAGCTGATTTCAGGGGCCGGTCGACACCCCCAAATGGGTCTGCCGAGCTGTTGGGGGGTCACCGACTTTGAGATGGGGTATGGTGCAAGCAAGCTGCTAGGGTTTAGGGTCTGACCTTTCTTTGGTTGGGAGTCTACCGCAGCATTTTGGGGGCCCCCTCAAAAAAAGAGAGAAGTTGTCTTCCGGGTGCCTGCGCAGCGCGGCTTGCCAGTGTTTCCAACCATCACCCGCAAGGGACACTAACGGGCCCCAAGCTGGCCTGCCTGTCCAAAAGGTACTGGTTACACCCGCTCCACAACTTGGCCCAAATCTTGCTCCAAAAATATGTTTCCTGGTATGATGCTGTGCCATGCTTAGGGGTTTCCTAAAACTAATTCTGGGCCATGCTTTGGGGGCTCCTAAAATCTAACCCAATATTTTGTAGGAGACCCCAGCAAAAAGGGGAGAGTCGGAACCCCTGCGCGAGCCAGAGTCCTTGATCTTGATGGAAAGGCCTCAGAATACGCCACGAGCTCTGTTGAACCCCCCAACCTGAATATCGAGGGAGCAAGGCAAACCCTGTAAATTACAACGGGTTGTGCTGACTTGCAAAACTCGGGGAATCCGGCTTACCATTACCACAAGGGATGGCGTGCAACGGGCACCCCTGAAACCGCAGTGTCGCTTTGGGCTGGAAGAACCAGTCTCAACAAACCCGGTGCAACTGGGCTTCCCAAGAAACCCGGAGGAAACAAAACCGGTGGAACCATTCCCAATCTCTGAAAATGTCCTCTTCCCAGACTGGAAAGCAGGGAACTCCCCAGAAGGCCTTCATGGGGTGTGTTAGGGCTCGATATTTGCCCAGATGGAGCCTCACTCTGTCAAACGCGGGTTGTAGTTTCCTTAAAGGAGATGCAACCCAACAGATCCAACGGGGGCGCCTCTCCTTTGCCTTTTGGTTTGTCCTTTGGTTCTTTTTATGCGAGCAAAACGTCCCATGCTCCAAAAGAGCTTCAAGCTGCAGGCCTTTTTTGGGTGGAGGTGCTGATTCGAAATGGCACCGCGTCGTCCACGGCACCAGGTGCCGAAAAAACCCCTGCGTGGCAGTAAACAAAGCAATAGGAACTCCTTTTTGAAAGGTCTTTTGGTCCGAAAAAAGGTCCCCCAATTCCATGGAGACCCCCAGGAACCATTACGCCTAAAAAAGAATGGAAACTGAAACTCCCGGGGAGTAATTCGCCAGAGTTCACTTCCAGAGTGATTCGCCACAGGACCAAAGTTCCGAGCGGCTTTCGAAGAAGCCGCGTAGCTGGCCCAAGGTGATAAAGCCGTCGTTATTGGTGTCCAGCTTGCCTTGGGGAGCATTCGATCCGTGGGAAATATCCCACAAGTGATACCAAGGTGGGATGTATCCCCAATGACTAGTTCATCACATAGGGGATTCCCTTGGCCACTCACAGACAATAGCCCGAAAATCACACTGTTCAGATGTTGTGCTGAGGCAAACCTGCCAGAAACACCCATTTCTGAGCCCTGAGAAAAAGGGCTTTTTCGAAAGCCCGCCACAACACAATCTGCAGACACCCAAATTGGGCCAAACATCTGGGCAAGGTATTGTTTTTTTCGCCAAAGGAATCCCCCAGGCGTCCTATCGTGCCCAACAAATCGCTTGTTTGACCCCAGACTGGATCAACTCTCACCCTGGAGTATCCCTACGCCTTTGGCCGGGGAAACGAAAGGAAAGGACCACTTCTGTGATACAACACAAAAGGAGATTCCCTTGCATCGCAGAAGTGGTTGGATAAAAGATGACCAGGGTCCCTTTGCCCAGCGATCTGATGATCTGGGCCCCTCACGCAACTTCTCGTCGAGAGAGGCTTCCACATTGATGGCAGCCTGCGTCGAGCAGCTTCTTCTTAACGTTCGAAGGGGGAGAACAGACATGGCCCTCTGTCCCCTTCCGAACAAAGAAAGATCTCTTTGGGTTTCATTGGACCAAGCTTGAAGAAGAGTAGAAGGCAACGCAACAAAAGGGCAATCGGTAGCCTTTGGTTCAATCAACTGAAGGTCCTTCACTCTTGGGGACAACACCCCACCCAACCGCCAAGTATTGCAAACACAATAGCATTCAACGTTTTTGTGCCTTCACTCTCGCGCATTCAGAGGCCTGGTAAATGGAATAATACCAATCTAGATCAGTGGAAAATCCATCTATGTCTAGCCAAACTAACCTCAAAAGGACCCCAGCAAACCAAGGAGAGACCCCTACCCAGTTTGTTGGGGCCAATGCACCAAAACCTGAAGGGATCAAAAATCAAGGGGCAAACCAATAAAACGGTTGTGTATCAAAGTAGGACCCCCAACATGGGGCGGTGTGCTTTTGCTTTTGTGTCTTCTTCAAACCAACCCCAAAACTGCAACCCATGCAAAACAACAAAAGCACAACAAAAGCACAACAAACAAACAAACAAACAAACAAACAAACAAACAAACAAACAAACAAACAAACAAAAACACACACACACACACAAAATAGATGGCCCTGGTAATTGATTCAACCACCAGGTAACCCAAAGCCAAATCTACTTTTCAAGCAAATCAACCAAAAAGGACACCTATGCACTTCCTGCTTCACTGGCCTCGGTGGGCTCCTCGCCGGCGATGCGCGCTTCGCTGGCGGCCAGGGACCGCACGGCCACCTCATGGGCGCGCTCCCATGGAGCTCCCAAGGGCTCCCTACATGGCCATGGGTCAAACACCCGTCCCCCAGTGAACCCCGCCCCAAAATGGGATCCCATCAGGGTGGATGCCCTAAATATTGCAAGGAGAGAACAAGGGAAACCGCTTCCCCCATATGGCCATGGGTCAAAATCCAAATCGTACCCCCAGTGAACATCCCAATCCAACCACTAAAATAGGTTCTAAAATGGGGTGGTGAATTCACCTAGCCCAAAATGGGATCCCAAAACGGTTTTGACCACCACAGCCATATTTCCCCTCAAAACATCACCCCCAACACTCAGCTTTCATGGGCCAAAACGGTATAGGGACCCCTGCAAGTGGGGCTATGGGGAGGGGCCATCCCTTCGCCCTCAAGGCCTTAAAGGCTTATCCTTGCCTCCTGGGCTTATGCAAACATAGCCCCCTCCATGATTCTCACTTCCTGAGTTGACGCTCCAAAAAAGGAAACCAAACTGATGGAGTGTTCGCCACTAAAATCATACCCCGAGAAAAACGGGTATTTGGAATTGGGGAACAACCCAAAGCCCCCCCCCACATGAAACGTTGTTAGAACCTTGAAACAGGGCTCCTAGAAGGCTTCTTAGGCACCTTTCCGCAAATGGGGCCCTTGGGAGCATGGCGCAAGTAGATTAGGATAATATGGAATAGAAAGCGTAAAAGTAGATCATATCTGCGCGAATATATATATATATAGAGAGAGAGAGAGAGCGAGTATGCAAATACACTTGTACCGATATACAAGCAGCTGAAGGGGCAAAGCTGTGCCTTGCATGGTGTTCAATGGGGGGCTTGTCAAAATATGGCCTTTTTGGACCCTGGTGTGTTTACCACTAAAGTATCTGTTTCCCAAAAACAAACTCTGAACTGAGTGATCTTCCCAACAAAGTAGAACATCCAGGAACTCGAGCGGTGTTCTGGACCCTCAAATGGGTCGTTTTTCAGGGCACCCCTTTTTGGTAGGTGTTGAAGAGAAACCAAAAGGACAACCGCTCATTGTGAAGGTCCCCTGACCAACTTTTGGCCCCAAGAGGGGAATTAAAATATGTTCTATGTTTTTTGTTTCCCGTCCTTTTCGACTAATCTGAAGTTGAGTTTAGCAGGGGTGCTGCTGATCCCGAACTACACTCAGAGCCCTTGCAACTTAAATCTGCCATCCCCTTCAAACTTTGCCCACTTTGGTGGCTATGAATCTGAATGGGGAACACCTCCAAAGTTGGTTTTGGACATAAATCCCCGTGTAAATGATCTCCACTAAAGGGGCCCTGACTAACATTTACCACCCATGTACATGCTGACCAAGTCTTATCTGGCTTTGTGATTGGGTTATTCACAAAAAAGGACAAGATTCGAAGGCGTTATGTTGCCACTGGGACGCAAAGCAGACAGAGCAAAAGCGCTCTGGAAACCAAAGCAAGAACGCCCCCTGCGAGGCGATTTTTTGGGGGCTATCCTGGCAAAGCTTCGCCTAAGCCCTGCAAGGCTTTTTTGAGAGGTTCATGAACCCACCCACCTCACCAACCCCCCCCCAGCCCGGGCAAATATGTCTAAAAGGCGTACTTCTAACTTCTTAGAGGGAAACGAAAGGGAACAGCTTGTCGAACCCCACCCTTTCTGTACCAGGGGTGGGATTCCCCCCACTTCTGAACGCACTTGACATTTTCATTCACCACCGAACTCGACCGGCCCAGTGTCCCGCAATGACGGTTGCCAAAGCGAGATTCCCACCACCAACATCGCCCATTTGAAGCAGACTGCTTTTTTCCGATATGCGACTCAGAGATGTGGCCGTCTCCGGGCATTTCCCCCCACCCCCCCCACCGCGAAAAACGGCCGTTTTTGCAGCGGACGGCTTGCCCTCACCGACGGCCAAAGGCCCACCCCCGGCCGCCGACGCTGGCCTCGTAGCCGCCCACGAAGCCCAGGGTGCGCTGCAGCTCCTGGGCCCGGAAGGAGCTCAGCCGCCGCCCACGTGGTTTTGGGAGGATGACACCCGGCCGGAGGGGTGCCAAGGAGACCGAAAATGGCGCAAGAAAATCGTGGCTGGACCATGGGAACCAGGGTTCTTCTTCTGGGTTGGTTTCCTTGCACCATGGCAGGGGCAGTTCCTCCCGGAAAAAGAATGGAACCCAAAATCATGAGAGGAACTGGTTGGGTTCCATGTCCATGGGAGTAAGTAGAAAATCCACCACAATGCATGCAACTCCTCCCGTGGAAAAAAGAAAAGAAACAAATCATATACACATACATAATGAATACAGTCATGGTACTTGGTTTGGGGTCCGGATACGCTTGGAGCAACCAAGAATACCGCGCCCCGGCGTGTGTGTGTGTGTGTGTGTGCGCTCTATTTTTACAACCTCCTCATCCAAGCCAATCAGGGAACGGACTGCTCAGAAAGGGCTCGGTGACCAGGGAGCGAATTGAACCCACGGCAGGACAGACCTCTGTCGGCCAGCCTGGTGTTCTGCAATGACCTGACTTAGACCCCCTGCAAAAGGGAAAAACGGTTGGTTGGTTGAAAGGTAAAATGATGGAAACCCAAAAAAGGCGACAAACAAATAAAAGGTAAGCTAAAGGCAATGATGAGCTGTTTTTTAATGGGTCGACAGGCACTTGAACCGAAGCCCTTCAAGCCTAAACGCTGCGCTTTTTGGCGAGTGAAGTATGGGAGTTTGGGCACAGTCACCGGTTTGCGCTTGGCTAGACAAGAGCATGCCGTATCCGGTAAATGTGTGTGTGTGTGCGTGTTGGACAGATTGCTCGCGGTGCTTTCTGAAGCGCCGCATGGAAGGGGAACACGGGGAGACACCCAGCGAGTTCTCGCGCGGTACTAGCGGCGGTGTTACACAGCCTCGCGAGAAGCGCGGCTGAGGGGAGGGGTGTCGCCAGGGCCAAATCAGCCGTCCCAGCGAAGACCTGCACCAGGGTTCCCCTTAGAATCTGTTGAGTTTGGGTATGCCAAACATCAGCGGGTTTGGGTTCTCCCAACAAGCCCTCCCACCGAATAACTCCAAACAGGGCCCCTGGAACCCCTTAGATCATCCAAAAAGAACCCCACTTTGAATCAGCCTTCCCAAAAGGCGATGACACAACCACCTCCCCAGGTGTCGATAAATGGACTCGGAGTAAAAAACATCACCCCGTCCAAGAAGTAGAGCTCATGTGGCTGGGTTGTCAGCAACATAAAGACCATCATCTTTTGAAAGAAAAACAAACACCTTTCGCCCAGATCCCATGTTTTGGGCGGATGTATTGACATCCCAGGCCCGACCTCCCCGACCGATTCTCCCTGGTTCGATCGCTAGCGAATGAGAGGCTCAGCTATGAATCATCGCCAGGTTCACGGCCAAAACTCTTCATTCCATCAGATTCAGAAAGACCATCCCTGTCACCCTCCAGGTGTCCTGGAGTGAATTGCTCCAGTTTCCTTGGAGAAACCCCAAACAAACCTGGGACCAGCCATGTGGGTTCAGAGAAGAACCCGCCAAACAAGTGCTCCCCTGTTTTCCCTCACCTCCAAGAACGGGTACCAAAAAGTGCTTTCCTTTTTCCCTCACCTCCAAAACTGGGTACACTCCCTCAGACTAACATGGAAGCTCCCAGAAGGCCTCTGCAAATGGAGCCAAGTCTTCTAAAGGGGTCCGTTCGGGAGCTTCCATGGAATCGCCTGGGGGAGGCGACCAACTGGCTGTGGGTCAGAAATAGGTACTCGAAATGGAACCCGATCGATAAATGGAAAGGACCAAAACCTGCCGTCCATATCCTGCTGCTTCAACTTTGACCCATACCCAACTCAAAATCCGCCAACCCCCACCGAGCCGAACGCCCGCCGCCCGAGCCGAGGCGCCGCGGTGAGGCGCGCGAAGAGCGCGCACTCCGCGGCGAAGCGGGGCTCGCGCGCCTGCAGCCGGCGCCGCAGCACGGTGAACTCCTGGCAAAAGCGCAGGGAGGGGGGGGGAGAGTAGAGAGGTTGGAATAAGGGTACCGTTGTTTTTTGTTTTGTTTTTTTTTTTTTCCCGGTCTATTTTAGTAGGGGAAAACCTCCCCCAAAAAAGGGGTGAGAAAAGGCACCTAGCTGGGGGACCTAGGAGGGGTGGAACTGCGCCCAAAACCTATGGGTTTCTAAAAATGGAGTTCCTTTTGGTGGGTATTCAAAGAGAAGAAGGCCAAGCCTGTTTAGAGACGGATTTTTGAGAAACTGCGAACCTGCCAGTTCATTCTACCAACACGGAAAAGGGTGTTTTGGGGGCCTACCCCCAAGATCCACGCGGGTCTGGCCGCTTTGAGGATCGAAACGGCTTGAGCTGGGCTGCCTTTAAACCAGTTCAGAGGGCCAGCTGGCTTGCGAAGGGGAAAAAACACCCAAGACGGCCCCATTTTCAGGATCTCACTGGGTTGCCTAAAAAAACTACTTTGCAGGAAACCTGCCTTTCTACTTTTGCAGGTTGCAACTATTTTCAGGCTCTCACTTCTGGATGGACCTGGAAAGGGCACCGAAAAATCCCCATGTCCCCAAGCTCCGCTCCTGCTCAGTTTCCCTCATGAGCTGGTCCAAGGTGCGGCCTTTGTTTTCGCGCGCGCGAATCACGCGTAAATCAGAAACACCCAGTGAAGCTGCAATGCGAGTGCTAGTTTGTTTGTCTGAGCACTTGCTCAAATTCGCTCGCTTGATTCTCTATTCTCTGCCCTGTCTCCGTCTCTGTCTCTGGCTGTCTCTTTGTCTGCCTGCTTGCTCTTCTGTCCTTCCATTTGGTTAAGGCCCCAGGGAAAAATACCAAAAAATATTTCCAGTAGTGATGAATTCCTTCCCAACCAACAAGGGAACATAAAACATATTCTTAAGCAAATGGAGGTGTCTTTTTTGCTATGCCCTGTCCAAGGACCAGTCCTTGGTGAGCCCCCCTCAGGTTAGAGGCAATGCCGAAGGCGCATCATCAAGTACCAGGCATAATCCGACACGAATTCCCCATCCCTCCCCGCGACAAAGAATCGATAAGGCTCCCTTTGCTGTTGATTGGCAAACATGACGCACCTGGTACTTCGACATGGAGTCAGCTAAGTCGTTAGTAACTCTCCTTGAGCCCTTTTCCA